TGGCTGTGTTTGGTGGAGTGAATTTCCTGCTCATTCTCACTGCAACTAGTAGACCGACGAAGTGCCCAGCGAGTGACTTCTATGGTCCGGATCCTAATTGGAAAGAACGCATCGGCTTGGCCATCTATTGTGCATTGTGCAAAATTCCCATGATGGTAGGTTGTTGCCAGATTGAACGTCACCTGATTAGCACAAGCCGCGTGGATAAAGGCCCAAGGTAGTTAGAACAAATAGCTGTGATCCAGTTGCCAAGGCTCGGGTTATCTCCTAGTAGGACTGTTTGTTTATTGTGTCTGATGCTGGACCGCTTGTGGTGTAAGTGTTAGAATTTCCCCACTTGTTGCGATTCTGAAACATGCATTTAAATACTCTAAAAGGCCTCTAGCCCAACCGAAGAAAAAACCAGAGGATAAATGATCTTGACAAAAGAACGCATTAACCGGCGCCAAAAAACACTGTACAAATGAGGCAGACCTTGCTCGTATCTATTGGTCACTCACTTAATGACCTTCGATTTCCGGAATAGGGGGGTCAAGTGGCAAAATTAGCAGAGTCATACCGATCCAAACAATTTTCAGGCGGTTGGCAGTCAGGTGCAAGCCTTGGAACAATCCAGAATGTCCGAAATCAATGCGACAATCGGTAGCAATCGATTAATCGCCAAAAGAACAGCTTTTCGCAGAAATTCATACATTTTCCTGGGCAGTAAGTCTGCGTATGGCGCGTGACAGTGAAAGCCGTCGGGAAGATGTCTGGCTGATGCTGCCTCTCACGACAGCCAGCTGTTTGTGTTGCAGACAAGGCGAAAGTGTCCGTTTACACTGTATGCTAGCTTAGGGCACTCAGATTTTACATCGAGCACCCTTTCTCTTCCTCTTATTCTCCACCAGTAATATGGCCTTTAAGGCTGCACAATAGTGCGACGCAATGATTCACAGCTATTGCTTTGTTTGTTTTCTTGATTGTTATTGTTTATGGGTCTGGTTACACGAGCGCCAGTCCTGACTTTTGTACCAAGTCGGATAAGATCAATGATGTGTGGCCGGGTTTGGGTATCCCAGTTAGGATAGCAGACGAACAAGTCACTTCACTAAACAAATGCATAGTGCAGGCAACAAAACTTGAAGAAGTGGGTAGGATAAACAATACTATTAAACCGCGGTTATACAATTGTAATTATGGACAATGTACTACAGTATAAACTTAGGAATAAATGAAACGACTCAGGAAGATGTGACGGAAGTAAATCCACGAGTATATCGTTTAAGCGAAATGAAAATGCAGTTAGTGTAACTCAAAAAGACGAAGAGTTACTGAGTTACTGATAAATTTGTAAGTTTACCGTGTTGAAAAGAAACGGTTAGCAGCAGAAAAGAAATATGAAAATGTGCTATGTAGCTAGTGAATTATGGGGATGAATACCTTACAAAGATTACAACTAAAATCCTGCTACTTACGAGTAATATATAAAATATGAAAAGCTGTGAATTTGCAACCAGCGCATCCAGTGTCGGAACTGCGGGGTGAACAGGGTACAGTAGTTTGCTCTGGTGGATTTAGAGTACGTAATCCCCATACGAGAACACAATATGCATCGAATGAATGAATCATGGAGACTAAGCTAGCAAGCAAAGTAAGACTACTGAGTAAACTGAGGCAAGCGAGTAACCTACGTTGGCAAATTCTTGCAAACCAACGCATCCGGGCTACAATCAAGAGGAGTCCCCGAGTTAAGCGAACAGCTGATGGCTTTAACTAACCCCTATTGGCTGTCAAATCGAGGTTCTCCAAATCAAGATGAATACGCCGACAAAGCAAAGTGATTATCCGTCCGCCTATGGTAAATTAAATATGAAGGTACTTACGCTCACTTGTATGTGGTTGAGGAAACCTAAGGCGAAATCTATTCGTGTGTGTTAGAGGAAAGCGTCTATAACATTCCGAAGCAACAGAGAGCGCTGGTGGACGGCGAGTAGATACGACATCGAGAAGGCCAACGCCAATGAAAACCCCAACTCATTCGGTGCAGTGGCTACCGTGTGAGTGGACAACTGGTCCACTCTTAGTTATGTCGCGGCACCAACGCTTCGCTGCCACTAAACCACCACCAGTCGCCCTTGGGTCAAGGATACCATGAGAGTCGCCTGGTCCCCAAGATACGCTTAAATCCACAACGTTAGAGTTGAAAGACAAACGCCTCGTTCTCGCGGCGACATCATTCAACGCGCGGAACTGAGCAAATCGAAGAGTAATTCAACCAGACAAGTGTGTCGGAATTGTTAGCTAGGTTACCTGAGCTCATCTGGGAGGTTGGTCGATGAGATCACCCACGAGATGGTACCGTTGAAACGGTCCGAACGATTTTCCATCGTCATTGCTGAAGGATGGCTGAAACTCGCTAGTGGCTGCTTTAGTTTCCCTGTTCGACATTATTCGGCACGAGAGGAAGTGCCTCATGACTGGCGGTTGCTGACTGTCACTTACACTTTTAAAAGAACCAAAGGACTTCGGTTATATTTTAATGGTTTCCAAATCGATGACATGCGTCATGCGACGGTGACTCACTGATACTCATGGTGGGCTGCCTGACCTGAAGAGTGCCGCTATGCTTCGGTTGATCGTGTCTGTAAATGGCGATGTCACGCTCTGTAGGGTGTCACAGGAGTTTCTACATAGTATATAATCTCTATACCACGACTCCCAAGTTATATGGGAAAGTCTACACTGAGTTTCCTATGAGTTGTGAAGCACGCCAGTGATCGAAATGATCACGAAAGATACTCTCCCGTCCCCATCCCTAGTTGCCTGGGTAGAGGTTCTGTTTGGTGGGTAGCTGTTAAAACTAGGGTCGGTCCCAACTGCTATGCAATCACTAATGATGCGTAGCCTTCTACAGTTCGGCATGTGATTTTCACCTGCAAAGTGCGGCGTGCGGTTACAGGACGGGACTGATATACGCCTAGCTTCCATGCACAAGGAACAACCGATCGAAACCGTCGACCGGGTTGCCTGTTGAGATGTGTCACCTTCAGTGACACAACGCCCAAAGGAGTGCCAAATGTGATGCTGGAACTCGTTTGATCTTTTTGTATAGACTCAGTCACTCTTGGAGACGGTCGGATACTGTCTGAGATGGAATCCGGTTTCGGACCTGCGCATCGGGTGAGCCCGTGGTACCAGTGACGTTGACCTTCTCCACTTCGAGGTAAGTGGTCAGAGGAAGCGACTCGCTTTTGGCCCGACCGGTGTAGCCATAAGTGAAGCTCAGGCAAGCATAGTTTGCTACCCCCACAGTTTCCAGATGAGCCAAATCCGGAGTTTAGGGCATTATGCTTGCATGTATGAAATTGGACTCAGAATGCGAACTCGAAGTTAGGCTAGTTCAAGAAGTTTTCAGTGTAATATCGAAAAAGCTGGTCCTACAAAGACAAACGATTTGTTCGGACAGACACGATGTTTAGTTGCATCCAGAAACGAAGACACAGTGTGTCGTGCATTAACAAAGGCTTCACGGAACTAATTGAAGGGCGACCAGATGTCATCGTTCAGTCAGGAGGCCGCGTAAGCAGACTACTACGACTCGTGCGACCAATCACAGAGTCCGTTCGGTTCGCATCCAATTGAGCGCCTAGTTCAAGATTTGGTCTGTTCTCCGAGCTGAACGATTTCGTTGCAGACGTTTCATCACCAATCGAGGTAACTTCGTCAATGCGTAGTGGGCAAACTAAATGGTTCGTGGACCCTTGATCGCTGAGCGAGTGACGTTGGAAACTGACCAATTCGATTCACGTCCCGTGACCATTGCTAGTCGCCGCCTCTTTCAGTCTCATGTTGCGAATGGCTCGCCTAAATTCGCTTCTTCGCAGTTGATGGTAAGAGTTAAGTCAATGCACAGGTTTATTGAATTCTTTGTAGAGAACCAGGTCTAGTTTACCGCGATTGGATACTCTCTCTCTCTCTCATCATATACAATAATCCTTGAAAGCTCGTAGTACGTAAATCCATCCGTTCGGAAACCTGTCACTGCGACTCGCTGTTAAGCCCCGGTTTAGCCAAAGATAGTTTTAGCATCCGATTCAATCCATCGAGCACACGTGTCGTTGCACTGATACCAACCCTTCCTCCTCCCCAATCCCCTTTGCTTCTCTCAGATTGGTTCTATTGTGATTCGGATACGTCGCCGGATACGGAAGGAGTACATGCGAGCTCGCAAAAGCATGCAGAGCACTAGACTCAGCACAGCCACCTCAACTATCAGTCGCAAATTGTCCAACATGATGCGGAAAAGATATGAGCAAAACCGTTTGCCCCCGTTGACGGAGGGTCAGAGAAACTTGATCCATCTGCTCACTAAAACCACCATAGACCGAATTGTTGAGGCAGCTGAACGAGAGTTGGCCAAAAAAAGGGAACGTGAACGACTGATTGTCGAGGAGCAGCTTCGACGGCGTCATGAGGCCGGAGAAGTGGAAGTCGAAGCACGAGAGGCAGAGCTGGCTGCAGAGGCTGCGCAACGAGAAGCCGAAGCCGCGGAACAACAAGTGAAAGATGCCAAAGACGGCAGGGCCAAGACAGCCGCGCAACAAAAAGCGAATCAAGCGATGGCCCGGGCGGAGAAACTTCGAGCCGAAGCCACCAATATGCGAGAACTGGCTGTGCGCCGCCTCAGCGCTCTGAAAGAAATCACGCCCCTGTCGCAAATAATGGAGCAAGAGAAGGATTTACCATCGCTCACACACCAGGACAAAATAGCCGTGGAGAACGCATCGAAGGAGTTGCGGCCGTATCTAAGTCTACCTCGGTATCACACACCAGAATTCTTTCTGCTTCATCCGAACATGCAACGCCAAGCAGAAATGAGGACCACAATCTATCCGGCACCTGAAAGAGACCGCCCTCAAGATGGCTGAGTAGAGCGTAGCACATCTCAAGCATACTCAGTGACATCTAGCTATCCTACCGTTTCTTCATCAACTACTAGACGAATTAAATACGACTTAGTGCTGAAGAAATAAGTGGAGTGCCCCAAGTGACATACTCGTATACAAAAATTAGACACACTATTTTCACTGAAAACTGTAAGTCCCACCGGTGAGCAAGTACAGACAATTCACCACCACTAGTTGGTGTCAGTTGTTTAAATTGCACTGCTCGGGTGTTGGGTGTGATAAGCCGCACGGAATAGGAAACAACACAATCTGGAACCAGGTGTAACGTGTTTGTGCGACAACTCATCTCTTCGCCACACAGACCGAAAGAATTGTCGCCAAAATATCGGTGAACTGACAGAACACTAAATGCCGCGGCCATAGACCAACAGGTCTCATCCAAACGTGTGAGACTTCGCGCATATTAAGAACCTTGGTAAGACTTTTTGTGCAGTTCATTGTAAATCGAAATACAAGTAGCAACGAGAATAGAATTTGATGTGGTGCGTATTTCTCCGACCTGTCGAGCCATACTGGTCGACAATTTGGACACGTAGAAAGTTCCTTCTACCAAAGTGGTTAAAACCCCGTTCCCAGGTCGGAGATTGGAGTGCCTTCTGTGTGAACAAACAAAGTAGCATATTTCCTGACATATTGGATACATTATTAAATTGAAAAACGCTCATCTGTACACAGGAGTGGTAACATCATCCTTGTCGACTAGTTTAGTTACTCAAGCCTAAAGGTATCAGCTCATGCAGTTGCAAGATAATGGAGACATCGAATGTAATGGACCGACGCGTGGAATCATAGGTCAACAGCATCGTAGATTCCAAATGAGCTTAAACAACCGAACGTCGTCTTTGTCCAGTGTAGCTGGGATCGGTTGAACCAGTACGCAGATCAATTGCTGGATACCGTGGGAATGTTTATGGTGTAATCCACGGAGAGGGGCCGAAGCCAGTGATGCAACGTTTTTGAAAACGGAATGGTCCATCAGATTGTCCTCCACATGTCCAAAAATGCACTAGAAGGCCGTTTCGTCTGATCGAGACTAGTCATTTGCGCGAATCCATGAGAATCCGGAGCAATGAACAATAGAGGTCAGCACCGCCAGCTAGCAGCTTATGCCACTGGGGACAGCCGCGGACCGTCATGATTTACAAGCTAACTGCGATATAACGCACCATATCCACCACTGCCATGTAAGTTACGAACGTTGCAGAGGACAAGGTTGGCCCCGAAAGACACGATGTCCACTAAGAGTAGCTATGTAGGACATCGCACTTCGAAACTGTTAGGGCGGATATTTTGATCTACTCATAAGTAGGGATTTAGACGTAACTAATTGAGAGTTCGTTGCAGCAGGTTCCAAATCAGGTAGTCGTCTGCATGCCTGGAAAAGCACTAGACTGCAGTTTCAACCTTCGGGCAGCACCGGACCTGAGCAGCTATCAGGATTCGAGCCCATGACCACCGGCTGCTTGCACCACCAGTCAGCTGCTTAAACCACTGGGGACAGCTTCGGACCGTCATGATTGACAAGCCACTACTATGTAAGTTACGAACGTTGCAAAGGACAGGGTTGGCCCCGAAAGATACCAGTTCCACTGACAGTACATATGTACAGCATAGCCTATAGAAACTGTTAAGGCGCATATTTTGATGTACACATGAGTATGGGATTTCGATTTAATTAATTGGAGCAGATTACAGAAAAGTAGTAGTGGTAGGAGTTGAATGGTAGTGGTGGAAATTCATCACACATAAGAACATACAAGTCAGTGGACAGTGAGTCGCGCTAAAGCGCATCTAGTAACTTAATCAAGACGGTCCTTACCGTCCCTCATGGCTCAGTGGTCTCAACCACAGACTGGTACCAGTCGAGTTTCGGGTTCGAGCCCTACCAAGGGTCAGATGAAATGCGAACTGACGACGATTCCCGAAAGGATGAAATGGCTGTACAGTGCTTTTCCTGGTGAGTGCTGACCGTCTAACTGAGTCAAAATGTGATGAATTTCTACCAACAATTGGAGTAAGTTGCTATTCGACCAAATAAGTAATCCAGGTTTTTGTTTCTGCTGTGCATATATGAAAATCCCTACGCATGATTGTACACCTTCAGCAACCCCCTCGATCATGGACTTTGATGTGTTGTGTTTTCTTTTACTATTTCTGTAGTTTATTTTGAGTTCCATGGTCTCCGATGGCTCAATGTCTATTCATACTGTTGCAATATATATATATATATATAATATATATATATATATATACCTCTTCGCTAAGTTTTTGAGCTGCACAGTATTTGATCAGAGAACATAGTCGCCTCATAACTAGATTTGAGAGCCGTTTGTCAATGAGAATGTTCGCCGAAAGAGTTGCAAATCACACAGACTTTGCCGGCCGATGAGCCGCATAATTTCACTGCATAGGCTTCGGAATGTGTTTAGAATACCTACCGTGAGCGTTTGCTCACGGTATAGTATTGCGCGCACAGAAGTCGGCTGGAACCGAAGACAATGGGACCAGCGAATGACTTGGGCCAAAAGTATGAATGCGTTAACTTCACATTTGGCTGCGGTCGGGCGCTCACGACTCCCCGGTTGGGGGCGCAATCTCCACGAACATACTTAGCTAGAATCCCTATCGGATATGTCAAGAAACTGTGAGCAATCACGAACATGTTGTGGGATCTCACCTCCATAAATGCAGTTCTATAATTTTGCTTAACCCCTCTACTCTTTATTATCGTTGTATTATCTTCCTCCATACATTGTGGCACTCCGTCGTATATATATGGTTGGCAGCATCCGGTTTCGGATTTGTCTGTCACTGTGGCCAGGCACAGGACGCCTGCGTCTACAGAGGGACCATGGGTGGCTTGCGCTGCACCACCCACAGCTCCATCCACACACCCCATATTCAGTGTCAAACCGAAGAAATAAGACAAGGAGGCGTGCGGATGGGAGCCACGTTTCATCAACGGAGTCGGCCCACACTCCTTCGCAGGCAAACACAAGCACGCTGCATTTGGGGAATCAAGCGCACACAAGGCGGTGGCTGGACCGTAGTCCACTCCACACTGAGTGCATGGAACCGCTCTTCGAAGCTAGCACGGCCACATGGACAGTGCATCCCGTCCGCTCCAGCAACAACCAACTGTCTCCTGGAGCCAGTATGGACGAGGTAGTGGGTAATAGACAGGTACGCACCTTGTCAGTATGCACATCAAGCGCAGCCACACCTGGGATGTCAAACAACAGCCAGTCAATCGAAATGCCGATATCGAATAAAGTAAACGGATATGACGACATGAATACTCGCTAAATGAGCATATGGAAGAAGTTGGTTATAAGTGAATCCGCAATAAGTACACAAAGTCGAAGGTTATTTAAAAACTACTTCGCGATAAAATTACGCAAGTTTACCACAGTTTGCATGAGCGACGTGTGCAAGTTAGAAGATTATCAAGTACGCAAAATAAACCACATAAAGTGGAATGAATTTTATCCACATTATAAAGACCTAGTTTAAGTGTAAGTTGGCTTAGCCCAACTGCGGTGAAGAAGCATCATGAATGCAACATCAGCTTCAGCATATATAATAATAATCCGAAAGATATGCTCGTGGACAAACATAATCGGAGTTTGATGAGCAAGGCTGATGACTTAAGAGTCAAGTTAAATGCAATGTAGAAATTACTAAGCACAATGCATCCAAGTTCATCGACCGGATTGATGCAAATATTTAAGTTAACCGGAAATGGATGTATATACCCTGCAGCTGCGATGCTGCATCGGAGATCTGAAGAGGGAAGCGAAAACCGAGGGAACTGCTATTTGTCTAGAAAAACAGGAAACGTGCACGAGAGAAGTTAGAAGAATCCGATTGTAGGAGTGGAATGATGGCAGCTACGTTCCCTCACACAAAAAGAACAACAGCATGAATGCGCGCCTAAGGCGGGGAGACCGCGTAGAATCTGTTAAGCCACAATGTATTCCAGCCGTTGTATCAACAAGTGTCCTTGAAGTCTACAAATCCATAGAGTGAAGATTACAGACACAATTCGGTGCAATTCAGTTGAACAACCATGAACCGGGCGCCGAAGCGTGGTGGATACAGTTGTCACGTACGCGAATGACTTCGATCCGTTTACTCAGCCGTGCGTGGATTGTTTACCACACATAGACCAGCCAATCATCAGACACACACCTCCGGTCTCGCAACTCGAGTTCCGTGAGTCCTGTACCTTCCTCAATTGATCGATAAACCTCCTGTTGTTCAGACGTCTTCTGCTTGCTGGGATTACGTGTCTCGAAAGCGTGCGTTACATGCTTAGTGGTACTATGTTTAAGTGGCGACGAAAATGACGAACCAAATGTTGAATACACCTCCCATATTTTGGTCATCTGCTGAGGAAAAACCGACCTTATCGAACTGGATAAGATGAAGGAAATCATTTACGAACAACGTGGAATTACTCCCTGTACCGAATCCGACCGTTTGTCTTTCCGAAGCTCACAAAATCACACTATTCAGGTCAGTGCTTGGCGATGAAGGTCAACGGCACTACAATGCCCTACAAGTGGAAAATTATGCCACCTTCAGTTATGCTTTGGATACTTATACCACATTATGGGCGCTGAAACAAAATGTTTACATTGCCAGATGCTGCTTTTCAAAACTTGTCCAAAAGCCGAACGAAAGCGTCAATGATTTTATTGCACATATTCACCAATCCATTCCTGATTGTAAGTATAATGATATTCCACCTGGAAAAGTTGAAGAGCAAATGAAAATTCAATGGTTGACTGCGGGAATATCGGACGAAAGTGCTAAAGAGAAGTTGTTATCCTTGGATGAGTCGGCCACCACGTGGGAAAACGTTTGTCTCATCGTTCGCCAGCGAGAGAACATCACGCACCAATTACGCGAGTTCACCGGTCGGCCGGTAGCTGATAATGTGCATGCGGTCCGCAAATCAGACACCAGTGAAAATCGAAAACAATTTGTGTTATCGTTGCGGTTTGCGGCATTCTCACGCTTCCGATTGCTGGCACAAAGAAAGTATCTGTCGGAAATGTGGCAAGATAGGTCATCTAGCACGCATCTGTAGATCGGAAAGTTCCCGCCCCACGAACAACAGTTGCCACGATTCGCGCCAACAGCATAACAATAGACAATAATGATAAACGAGGCATAATGCGAACAGAATACAAAGAGAGTAATACAAATGAGTAAAAGCAGTCAGGATGGAATGATGACAGCCATATGCAAGAAACCGAATGCAGATACTTCGTTGACTACGCCACGTTTGCTGATAGAGCCTCTGACCACTGGTGTGAACCATCTCGGGGCCTCCATACACGAAGACGACATGCACCAGCTTACCCGAATCTCTCGAATAATTTCTTCATATCTTTATGCCACGTCATAGACTGGCCACTTTGCGGTTTCACCCTAAACTGATGGAGCCACGGCGTATAATGCACGCCGAGGAAGCCGGACAACATGCATACACAGTGGACAAGACCTAGGCAACGTAAGAAATTACGATTCAGCAAACACACAAGTGAGGTACCAGAAGGCTTCTTACAAAAAAACCAACTGGCGGACTACAGCATTGATCACCCGATGTTCCCACCAAACGTGAGGAATACGCCGCAAGCACAGGTGGTCAAACACGGCCAGCCGTTTAATGTCTTCGCCGCGAAGTGGCCAGGTCTCTGATTTGTACAGTAAAACCGGTCTCAGATTACAATGACAAGCTGATATCCCGTCGTCTCCACAAATGAATGAGTCAGTGGTGTGACTATCAGAGGTGATACAACCACCAAAGTAAATGAACCGAACGACTATTTTCGTTGACTATTCGGTGATAACTAGAAGCGGCAGGATATCTAAAAGAGTTATCGGCAATACCCAGTACCGACGCTTCGCCGCCACACAACCACTGCCAGTCGTGCATAAGCTAAGGATACTGCGAGGGTCGCTACTCGCCCTACGCACGCTGGAATCCACGACCTCCGGGTTGCAAGGCAGATCGCGTTTCTTTTCGGCCAATGACCAGTGTATTTGCCCAGTCCTTCAACAGCCCGTTGCAGGTTTATGGTGCAAAGCACACGTCGACGTGTGCGACGCTACGTACAAGCCTATTCAACAGAGCTTCCATATCCGTTGGATTTAACCCAACAAGAGCTGCGTTCATACACTCAGGTGGTCACCTGACCGAACTTCCACTCCGAAAGTGACTGACAGGATACAGTCAATTGTGGCTATTTCGATCACAAAGTTGGTGAGAAAAAGAAACAATTATAGAACAATCCGGGAGAATCGCCTCGTCGTGAAGAACCCAGGAGATAGCTTCCCAACCTCGGAATTCGAGTTACAGAGACTTCGGAGTAGAGAGAGCTTCCTTAGAAAGCCATTCATCGGTAGGAAGTATCACAGGCTAGCAAGATAAACGGAATCGGAAGGTTTCACGTTAGGAAATAATACCGTAGTGGACTCCAGAGACCGCAGTAGAGTAATCGATAAAAGCGGAAAATTTTCCAATCATAAGTTGAAAACACGATTAAGACGTGTGTATTTTAATCAGAGACGGACAAACAAAGGAAGTGGCAATAATCGAGATGAGATGCGGTATTCTGGGGCCCGAGTTTGTTTGGGTTATTTGCCGGAACGGGCTCGTTTGCGCTTCGAGAGCTTCTTATCAGTCTTTTCGGAACGGGTTCGATTCCGGTCGGGTGCCCGCTTCTTCGTTTTCCGGTCGGACAAGGTGTTCGAACCGGTAATGGGGCGCTTTCGCTTTGGAGTGCTCGGAGACCGCGCTTCGACGGCATCACGTTCGGACTCGGTGGATGAGGTCTCCGGTTCCTCGGATTCAAGGCGCTCGTCCTCTTCTTGGCGTGCCCACATCAGAAGATCCAGCTCTTCTTCCTCCTCACTTGAATCCTTCAGCGGTGGAAAAGATTGGAACAAATGTGCAGGGTCTGTTAGGTTGACTGATAAGATGTGTACACAAAATAAGTCAAGTTTGGAATTCTCGATGAGGAAAATCGGCAGATTTGTGAGCAGCAATAAGACTGCACCAAACTTAAGGGGTTAATTGCAGTTAAAATGGGAACTAAGGACATCAAAAATCGATTGTATTGAGAAATGTCCAGTCAGAAGTACGACGGCAGGACCCTGTCGGAATAAACAGCCAGGTTATGGGAAGGCCGAACCCATAACGAGTGTGCAATCTTCTCCATTCTATGAGATACCGGTTGAAATGGTCTCTTTCTGAGCTAACTTCCAACCTTAACCTAAACAAGAATTTACCGACTTGATGCAAAAGCGTGTTGAAAGACCAGCTAGCGAAAACCACTGGAAAATCAACGCACACTTATACGTCAACCAAGGAGTGATCGACCAATGGAATGGATAGGCGGGTTACTAAAATTATTAGTTTAGATCTGGTTCGACCGGTAAGGAAGCATATGCATGTGTCACATGACGGACTTGAATATTCCTGGAATGATATGATGTTTCCGGTGCAAATCAATTACTTGGATCGTGCTCTCATAGAAATAGTGAATTTTCTTGATATATATATATATATATATATATATATATATATATAACACGACCAATAAACATTTGGCAGTGCCACAACACACAAGTAACAACAAGAAAAAGAGGAAGAGAGTCAAGGGAAGAAAGGCGAGGGTCAATGTGCTGTGTGCGCAGTTAGCTTCCCAGTTGCCCAGGCTGAAAAAGAGGGTTGAATTAAGGAACTCCATCCCGAGTCTTTGGTCATAAAGATCTGACGCGCAAGGCGGCGGAGCGAATACGAAGATGGTTGACAACCAGGTGGCTTATTTGTCTTCTTTGTGGTCGGTTGCAATACGCAGAGAAGCCGATGTCCAGCAAGATTGTTCATCCGCCCCGTGTTAGATACTCACCTTAAGGTACAGATGTGAGTGGTCAGTGACCCTGTAGCCAATCAGCTTGGCTTTGACACAGTGCCGTACGAGCTCTTGTGGTATTTGATGGAGAACCAGGTGACCAGAACAAAACTCCCAACGTTCTGAGACGCTGCCGGTGATTGTTTGCGACTGCTTATTTATCTCGCCTGCAAAAGAGACCAGACTTTTTCGCAGTTACCTCCACAAGGAAGACATTCCGTAACCTGGGGACGCGCCCGGTGGTGTACAGCTCCAGCCTCAAGTGTGCCCTGTGCTCAGAAGCTAAGACGCACTGGGCGCATATCCATACCAACACGGTAACCTTGGCCTATCATTTCTCCAGTAGTCCTGTTAACCACTGGGTCTCCACACAATCCCTCTAGATTATTGAAGCTCATCGAGTAATTCCGGATAGCCCTGAGTACCATTCACTGCGCAGGAATACCAACATTGAGCCCAAGAAACTGCTCCGGAAGGATAACGAGGCCTAGTGGACACAGCGGGTCATCCAGGTGGAGCAAGAAGCCACGTCTCGGAATCTCTGCAAGGTTTTACTCCTGATCTGATCCACTGGAGGCAAAAGGCCGACTGGAAACGAAGTTTCATGCGAATCCACTGCCAAAAACATCGACTTGTGCTTAGAACTGAGCACGTCGAGCAGCAGTTCAACTGTCCGGCGGCAACGATGATCTGTCGTTCGGGAACCAGTAGTGTTCCCTGGTGCGTGGACGATTCATGAGCTTCGCCATCCAAAGCGTTATGAACCCCCTGGCACAAATGAACACCATCCGGTTCATTTTAAAAATAGGGACCTATCGCTTGTACTAGAACTAACTCCCCCAAGAGATTTACATCAATGAAACAATTCAGTCCAATTGGGTTCTAGTGGATATCGTTCATCTCCACAAGAAGACTGATCTGATATTGTGTACCGATCATCGATGGATTAGTATAATTTGCAGTACATTTAAAGTGCTCACTACTCTGCTTCTAAGGGGGTTAAGCTTGGTTCGCGAATAAAAAATACCCGAAGATCAAGCTGGATTCCGTAACGGCCGGCGTTGAATCGACTACATTTTTACAGTGCGCCAGATACACGAGCATCAAAAGTTTAGCAGGCCAGCGATTGGTGTCTTCTTGGATACACCAGCCGGGTTTCATTCAGCTGGCCGAGCTGCTGCGCTCTGGAAGCGTTTCTTGAGAAGAGTGCCCGAGAACTAGGTCAACATTCTTGAATCCATTTGCTCGCGAACGCCGGGCCGAGTGCGGGTGTGCGACAGACTTTCGCCACCCTTCAGTGTCACTAGTAGCGTGCGACAAGGCTGCTCTTCATAACCGTTCTAGTTCATTTTCCCTCTATACGACACTCCAGAGTGCCATGGATAATTGAGAACCCAATGGAGTTGAGGTGCTTCCAGCGGACCGGTTTTACGACTTGGAGTATGCAGACGATATCTCGCAAGTCGCCCAAAATGTACTGCGTATGTTGGAAGTGTCTGTCTCCAAGTTCAGAATGACTTTCGCTCTTATGTAGTGTAAGGTCTTTGTAAAGGACTGATTAGGAGCTGTTCTATCTCGCACTATTTCGTAATATACTTTAGAAGTGGTAGACAAATTCGTTTGCCTCGGAAGCTGCCTCAGCGATAACGGTTTAACGGATGAAGTATCTTCGCGTACCTCTAAGACACGGGTTGCTTTTGATAAGCTCCGCCATCTCTGGCGTCGACGCAACAGCCTTTCCATCTATGTTAACACTCTTATCCGCATCCACTGGGGCGTGCTATGCGATCTCCAGTTATAAGAGAAGAAAAAAACCAGTGGGCAAATCAAGTTGATGCTTCCGGTCAGGAAGATAGCGGTGATTTTAAATCCCATGTACGGGAGTGAAAATGGAAAATCGCACCGTCGATATACGCTGAATTACGACTTATGGGACTTCTGAAGATGTATATTAATAAGTGTAGCGGTGCACAATTCAATTTCCACATGCATGAGGAGAAACATTGCGTAAATACTGCCGCAGTCCTTCGTTAAATCGAGTAAATAAACATGTATAGTTGTGAATGTGAATTCTAAATGAATTCTAAGTTCGGAACGAAACGTCCCCCGTGCAGTGAGCCTACTGGTTATATACTGATCTTTCAGGAGTCGCGTTACGTCCACTCTGCAATGTAGGTCAACACAACTAGCAAAAGTAATGGACAGCCATTTCGTGTAACGAAAAGTGGTTGTACTGGGGGTCGGAATACTGCAGAAGCGGGCGTTCGGACCCATCCTTCTTTCTGAACATAAAAGTGCATTGGGAGTTACGATCTACCAAGTACTGGACGTCTTATTTTTCGAGTACACGCGGAGAACTCACCTGGTCGACAGTCTCATTCTCTTCATCTGACTGTTCGCTCTGTGGAACGTATTTGGATGATGTTACGTTTGAAAAAAGATCGGTGCCTGGAAGCCCATCCATCCAAGCAGTATCTTCTGCACGGTGAAGTTGCTCTTGACTAAGAGAATGTTCCGATGATGCTGTTTCATTGACGTCAAAAACACCATGATCAGATTCGTCATCAGTGCCAACAACAAACTCGGGGCCGCTCACCAACTCATCATCATCGTCCGATTCCGACCCAAATATGCCAATATTCCTGTCCCCAGAGTAACCATCTTCATCTGAGACATCAGATTGTTCCATCACAATGTGGGACTGTGAAGACGCAGAATCTAGGTCCGTGGGTGGGGGTTGAGTACGGCGCTTACCACGAAGTCGGGAGGAACGTTGACCGAAGTCTTCATCCGAATCTGTGTGACAGAAAATGCAAGCAAAACGTTAAGACAGAAAAATGCGGCAAAGTTAGAAACTGGGTCGGAAACAATTCGATGAGTCAGTACCGTGATTGGTGTATCCAATCAGAGTGAAGAGATGGAACTCAAGAGTGAACCAGACAATCAAATGAAGGCGAACCTAACGGAACGGGATTGGTCATCCGTCTACACCGCTTATATATATATATATATATATATATATATATATATATATATATATATATATATATATATATAGCAACAGTCTACGAATAGACAAGAGCCATCAGAAACCATGGGACTCAAAACAAGGTACAGAATTAGTAAAAGAAAACAACACATCAAAGTCCATGGTTTCGTCAGAGGGCGAGATACTACCCGGTTGCCCAAGCCGAAGTAGAGTGTTGACTTAGGGGACACCACCCCGAGCCTTTGGCTGATTGGTTGCCGTGTTGAGGTGTGACTATTGATGTGGCCGTTGTTTGTTTAACTGAATCGGAATCGTTGTTATTAACGGAGATCATTCACGGCTCAAACATGCTACCAGTTTCACTGATTTGTCTTCATTGAATAAAATGCTTGTTTCTGAAGAACAGATTTCCGTGATGGCTACAGCATACATAAAGATGACGAAGGTAAATGCCACGAGTTATCCGACCATGATTATGAGGCATACATCCGGAAAAAGTGATATTGAAAGCAGTTATACAATCTCTGCCGATGGGATTTAAGCGTAAAGACAACAGGAGTTCAACAGTGACTCTGATGGGACACCGAAAGATCTACTATGGTTGAAGCAGACTACAGGGCGTATGTGAAACTGAGACCCAAGGATAAAAAACTAGCATCCGAGGAGTTGCGAGATCAAAAAGTGGCAGTGCAGTGGAGAGAAAAGCTGAAGAACGGGGGTGGATAATTCGACGTCATCTGGACAAAGTACGACGACAGTTTGTGAGCCCAGAAGACAAACAATCAAATTGCTCATTGCCTGCATCCCTAAAAATATCACCGGAGGAGTTGCCAAAAGAAGACGACGCTTCGACGCCTATACAGCTATAGTGGTCACTTCGTGAGAAGCAGAAGGTCATCATACTCATTATACACGTCAGCTAGAGGTGGGAAACATTTCAGCTACTGTGCCGCAACACATAAAGGAAATGGAAAATAAATACAACAGTTCATGTCATCTGAGCTACCAGCAACGGAGAGGCATCGTTCAGGTAAGCAACCAGCCGACCACTAAGCAAAAAGTAAATTTATTATGTTTTTCGCTACGAAATGAGATCATAGGTGGAGGGGAGGCTAAAAGGGATGGGGAGGGGCAAAGGAACTCACACCAGGAACGCTCCTGAGGTCGGCTCCTTGTCATGTCGGTAAGTGAATCCAGGCAAACCTGATCACCGTCTCTTGGACCCCAACCATAGAGCCGTGACGTACCAATCGAGGCCAGCTCCGAAGTGAGGGCCTTCATTCCCCTCCTTCATTCCTCATCGCTTGGCCACCCCTCTTGTAGAAGCAGAACGTAGTACGTTATCAGGCTGTATACTTAATTCAGAAGTGGAGGACTGTTGTTTAGGTTGTTACGAGTCACGGTCTGCCGGACGATGCAAGTGACTCATGTGCGAGTAAATATGGGTGTAACAAAACTGATGCATCATTCGATGCGTCCACCAGATATGGGGACGATAACACTTCGTAGGCATCGGTAGTCGACCCCACTCAATCACATCCAGACCCTTCAGAAAAACACAGTGCTCAGATAGCTGATTCATACATCAACAGTGGTCCTGCAACTTTGCAAACCATTCTTTACCGACTAAGCTTACATCCCGCTTCCATGAAGTTGAAATATGAGATTTCAATTGTAACTGTAAATAAAGCTAGCAGAACTCACAGGTCATGTGATGATGTTGGCCTGTAGCCTTAAGGATTGTAAACGCGCCTAGTAATCTGAAGACGCGTGTTCGAGCCTTCGTAGGAACCGCGCGACCTTCACAGTATCCTCAGCCCACGTGGGGCCGGTGGTGTCTGCACGGCAGCAAATGAACGGAACTGCGTACCAGTGTACTGCTGATGACTTCTTCTGGAATGATGTTATTTTGCGTACCCACTTCCGTCACGTAGAAGAAACTATTAACTAATTCAAAGAAGTCACGCTGCCACAGCAAGCTCAATTGTATTTTCAGTTGATTTTGAAAACAGAACAATAACCGTTCTCGATCGATCTCAAGGAGCTCGAGAAGGTGAAATTGTTGCACATGAGGACCGTGAATGGTGCACTGGGGTTGTGATGGTGGCTGAGACCGAGGGTGGATAGAACCGATGGACTGGACGCCAATCAGGCGAAAGCCGAGCACGCACAATTAGTCTGGCCCAGCGCAATGGGAAAATAGCACGCCGTCGGAAAGCGGCTTGGTTGGCCGTGCAGACAGTGCACTATATAAGCCTAAGACTGTGGTAGCAACAGGCGCATTGGCAGATGGTCAACCGCGGAAGCATCAGCCGAATAGAATAAGTACCAATTAGACGCTACTCATGAGAACCGATCACGCGGAAGGAACCCGGCCCAACGCATTAGAGAAACATAACACCTTTCGAAAAACGGATTGGGCGGTCGTACAGCGAGTGGATGGCATATACCTGAGATCATGGCAGAAATACAGGCAGCTGGGTCAAATAGCTAATCGTTGGATCATCGACTAACTGAGCGGACGGACAATTAGACACCACTGTGCAGTCTATCCGTTATGGCAACAGCAAGGCCTAGTGTAACCATGACTCCTGTAAGCGTGGATCGGCCCGTATAAAATAAATAGATATAAATCGTCAGCTTTACGCCTTAATGAAGCTGGGCTGCCCGAAAGGAGAACGAGCACAAACCAATGGAGTGTAGCTGACGTTACAGACCAGTTAGCGAGGGCCATCCAGTGAACGAACAACACCGAAATACTATATGTACTTTAGAAATAACGAGTCTTCTTAATAATGATTTGTGATCGTCACCCAGACTTTCTGCTTGATTCTAGGAGAACAGCGCGACAAAAGTGAACTGGGGATAGGTGCTCAGTACACGTTTCGTGACTGCAGACTTTTGAAAATCCAAGAGAACCCCTGTAATGTGTGCAGAGAAGTTCGTAGATTTGCGCGCATCAGCATTACGCCGGCACATCAAACTAACGCTGAGTATACCATGAGGTCGCCCGCACCTACGCGGATTCGAACTGGTGACCGCCGAGCACAAGGCAGGAGTGAGATCCTATCGGCAACCGACCGACTTCGTTGACATGGTCACCAAGAGTATTGGACTAGCTAAATAAGTAAACTGATTGACATTATTACCAATACACGTTAGCTGACAACATCGAGTGTGTACTCAGTTTTGAGGAATATTGGTAATTTAGCGGCCCCATTTTGAAGGTGAGCAGCGTCATGCGGAAGCAAATTCGATCCACACACATACATGTATGCCGTACACGTGCTCCAAGTTTGACAATTAGGAGTTGAACGAATAACCGGTGATGCTGATCTTCAAGAAAGGAAATATTCCCACTTGCGTGCTAAAATCAAAACCAAATGAGTGCTGATTTAAGAAAGTCATAAACAGTCCGCTGGCACACCGCTTTGTTGACACGCGATCAATCACAGTCGCACGTAGGCTGGGTATACTGTAAGGTCTCCAGTACCTATGCGAATTCTTTGACATCATCATCGTCATCATCATCATCATAGATATATATTAGCCGTAATTTTCTCGTTTTTTGTCCTCCTAGCGATTTTTCGATCTTAGTGGTAACGTGCCCTTATCCTGTTAGGCCAATTTTATCTCGTTGTTTTTATTGTTATAACAGTGTCGTCCTCTAGTTCACATAGTTAATTCTAGCTAGTCATTTAGCGTTACACTTCGTAACTATCTGTAATAATTCAGCATAACTTCTGTGTCTCTTAATTACACCCATTTGCTCGTATCGATCGTAGTTATTTTTAAAATGACGAAGCAGTCCCCTTGTGGAATTTGCTGCAAGATCGTCGGACATAGAGCTAATGCGATTTCATGCAGTCTCTGCAGCGCAAAGCTTCATATTTCGTGCGTTGGTCTGACTGTAAACCAATTTCGCATAATTCAGGGCATTAAGAGCGAATTTTTGAAGACCGTTTGTAAGCAATGCCAAGCTAATCTTGTGCAGAATAAAACGGACACGTCTAACAAGCGGATAGGCACAACGAAGTGCTCTAGAATGCCCAGTTCGCCTTGTGCTCCACCACAGTCAGTGAAGCAGCCAACGCCTAGTACCTCATCGCATCCATCGCGGAAATAAGGTACTAAAGTTCCATCAGACTCTCCCTCAAGACCTACTATATGTTCAGCTGACAGTAAAGTTCTAATTTGTAATAAACAAATTGAAGATAACGATTAGAGAGTACAAACGCCGACGAAACCAAGAGCAATATCCAGCGACCTGAGGCGCCGTAGCCTCATGGTCTTTTACGCATCTGAGCCAGGTGATTCTAATCCTCAGGTGCGTTATGCACATGACGTCGAATATTTGCAATCATTGATTGATAGACTACTCGATGTAAGTGAGGGCGGGCTCAAAGTGCAGCAAATCGCCCGTCTGGGAAAGAGAATGGAGGGCAAAAGTCGGCCCATGAGGGTGACATTTGTCGAAGAAGCAAGTACCAAGTTACTACCACCACCACGACCATCATCATCATCATCACCACCACCACCACCACCATCCATCATCATCATCATCATCATCATCATCATTGTGGTAACCATGTGAGCAACATCGATTGGCTCGATCTCATTGGTTGGCTTGCTGACTCATTACTATTGGTTGTGTGCGTCTGTCGCTTGACTCTCCGTTTAACAAGGGATTGACTCAGTTGCACTTAATTAATTTTGCGATATACATTTTACCTTTCCTACGGCTTTCTTGATACAACATTGTGGCGTCGCGGAGGCAAAAATGAACCTTTCCATCCAGCCCCCATCT